CAGGAGGGGAGGGGTCAGCGGAGCCCCCTGTGCAGCGGAGCAGAGAGAGGGAGAGAGACGAAGTAAACAAACAAGCAGGAAAATGAAACTTATCGGTGTCTTTTTTTTACCGACCTCAAAAAAAGTTATCGTGCGATTAATTGATTTATTGACTATCGCGACAGGCCTATGTGTGCGCGGTAGTGGTGGAGTGTGTGCGGGCAGGTATTCCCTTCATCGTGGGTAGTGATGGGATAAATGGCTCTTTGAAGTGGTCCGGATCTTGGGGAGCCGTTTGTTTCATAGAGCCGTTCAAAAGAGCCGTTCGATTTTGAATGTATTATGTCATCATGTAGCCGTATGTAATGACGTAGTCCCGTCACGTGGGTTTGGAACCATGTGGTTTCTCAAGCGGAAACCCCCCTCCCCCATTCCCATGAGCCTCTGTACTCCACAACTCTGCCTGTTTTCCATGAAAAAGCAAAGCGGGAGCGATTTAAGTTTGAAAAAATAAAGATTATATGAGGAAAAAAAGAAATAAAACTACAAATGGCTCGTTACTGCCCGCAACTCGGTTCCTATCGTTCGTTGTAAAGAGCCGTTCAAAAGATTCGGATCGTTCAAAAGATTCGGATCGTTCACGAACGTCACATCTCTAATCGTTGGACAGTTTTTTTAGCATACACACCTACTTGTGGGGACCTAAGGCTACTTAGAGAGACCTGACTGGTACTTATGGGGACCTGAATCTAGTCGCGATGACGGGAAACGCTGTTGGTGGTTCGGGGTTAAGTTTAGGGTTAAGCTGTGAAATGAGTTTAGGTAAGTGAGGAAGAAATAAGGGTTTCTACCTCTTATGATGTGAATTCCAGCCAAGCCATTGAGAGCACACACCAGCTGTCTGTGAGCTTCTTCACACTCCACTCGACATTTCTTCTGCAGGGACTTGAGAAGCTCCTCCATTGTCATGGTGCTGGGAGAAGAGGAACACCAAACCATCAAGTGCAAATGACACCGAACAAGTGAGCTTTACATAAACACCAAAACAAAACATGACATAAACAAATCAAGGCTGTACTGATGATCAAAACAGTGCTATGGTCTATTACTTTTACAGACTATTAAGGCTAGCTGGAATGGTAATGAGAAAGATTAGCAATTTTGTGAATATTCAGTGTGACAAGAGCTGAAGCCCTGAATCATGAAGAAGCTGAAAGTGAGTTGGTTAGGTTCAAACAAATGGAAGACGAGCTGAGATGAGCCAAAACGTTATAAAGCTAAAAGCAGCAGAACTGTAACAATAAATATTAATCAACAGTGACAACAAGCTTAAATGAGCAAAACTGTAACTAAAAGCTTAAAAGTGACAATATGGGAGTTTAAAGTAAAAGCACAACAACAGCTAAAAGCCAAAAGTAACAGAAGATGACAAAAATAAAGGAAATATGCAGAAGCAGCTTTCAGACAGAACAAAGTCAGGGAAGTGTCCGTTGATGATTTGTACTGTGATGTTTGGTTCAGATGGAAATAGTGAACTGATGACAGGTTTATCAAAGCTACTGCCAGAGCAGGTGCACATTTTCTTTAGAGAACAGCCACAAGAGAAAAGAAGCAAGTAAAGCTACACTTTAAACACTAAACCAAACAAAGCCTGAATGGTTCAAAAGCAAAGACCTGCCTGTTTAATCCAGATCAGCTGGGTGACCAAAACTCTGAAAAGCCTTTAGTTTATTCATTATATATCAATCATCCTTACTCACACCAACACTCAGCTCATTGTGAAGTTTGAGGGTTTCACATTTGATTTATTTGGTGTGTTTATTTGTTTTATGACTTTCAGATGCCATTTTGTTCTGTGTTGCTTTCTATGTTGCATCTGGATCCAATGATCCAAATACTGAGGCCAGGACTCCATTGTTTTACTTTTATTTTATAGTAATATGTTTTAAGGCTCTGGATACCTGTCATGTCCTGTGCGATACTGTTTACAATTCAGTTAGTATAAAAAAAACACCACAAAGTAGGATTTTTATTTCACAGGCTGTGTCTCAATTCATGGATTGCAGCTGACGTAGACCGCGGCCGACAGTGGCTGCAGTCTGTGTGGGCCGTAGGCCGCTCATGTTGGCTGGATAAATGGCTGTGAAATGAGACAGTCTAGTTTTATATCACATTACTTCAGTTGTTTTTTCAAGGTATAACTTCACAAAATTCAGTTTTAATGTTTAATGTTAGAAAAACATTACAAATAACTAAATAAAAAGCATTATTCATTTGGGTTTAGCTCCAGTATAAGTACAGCGGGTAAAATAAGTATTGAACAAGTCACCATTTTTCTCAGTAAATATATTACTAGAGGTGCTAATGACATGAAATTTTCACCAGATGTTGGTAACAACCCAAG